AGTTCTTATCTGTATTTAATTATAATTTGATCGATTGACTGTACACTAAACAAAATTGCTAACGCAGCACTTGTTTATTCTTGTTTGTGATTTAAACATTTGCCGAATTGGTACTAGCGTACATAATATGTCATTGATTCTAAAGGAGGGATTGTCAAACATATGTTAAATGTCTTGGTATCATGAACAGAGCCTTGAATTATCTCCTCGTCCGAAAACCTTGATCACTAAAGGTGGTCTGTGGGGTTGCCACAGGAGTAGTCCCTCATTTATTATTCAAATAACAAACACATATCGCCTGGTAATCGTCTGGCGCCTTAGTGTCCATACCATATCCACTTCACCTCTGTTTTACCTATTTTTGTGGAACAATTTTCAGCATATTGTATGTTTCTTACATGTACTGAAAGTCCTAACTACATGTGATGTCCTGTGTTATAGGTTAAGGGGGATGCACAAGCCATATTGGATCTAGTCTGGTGTGAACTAAGAAATACCAAGAATGCGCTTAATACTCTACTAAACTAGCCCAAAGTTACTCAAAGTGCTAATGCACTAATTACCTACTGTTAGAGACCAAAATTAGTAAACAATTAAGTTTATTCTGTCTTAATTAGAAGAAAATTAATCATGTTAGAACTGCGCAGCAACAGCATTCATGAGATGAGAAATGCATTGAAAATGGAGTTAGTTTGATTCATTGATAATATGGCTACAACCATTTGTTTCGTTTTTTTCTTGTCATTATCCATAATTCTTGAAAATTTGATTTTTCATATGGGTGTGTCTTCCTGAGGCCATGTGTTTATTTTGGTCCGCCATTCCTCTGTCACACAGAGTTCGAATAACAATGATTTTAGAATAAATGCGACCATAATAACATCAAGACAAGAAATTACTAAGTAATAATCATTAGGTAATATTACTTACTACTTTTATTTGTTGCATCGCATCGTCTGATTAATGAAAAAACGCGATTTTAACCTCACTCCAGCAAATCGGGAAAAACTGTTCTGTTTACAACTCGAAATTCCTCGTTAATATTATTCCACTAAGCACATGGTTGGCATGTGCATATATCTGCTGTGGATAAATCCGTTTATTACCATGATTATATTTAATTTTTATGGAACAAGTCTTGATTCTTTAAAACTCAAGAAAAAAAGATAAAAATGTCCTAAACATATGTGTTTACGGTGGGTCTTTTTTCTGTGGCGATAGAAGTTATTTTCAAATGGGGCACTGCAAGGAGGATGCTTAGCATTTAATTTGAAAATGTTAAACAATAAGCAGTGCATGAAAAATAAATTGTAATTACATGTCTTACATTCGAAAAGTTGGTACATATGTCTATTTTGTTTAGAAGTTAGATAGAAAAAATAGTCAGTTATAGGATATCCTTCAGGCACCTCACATAAATAGCTAGAATGTTTGCAATGGCCCACACATTATATGGAGTAATGTTTGGACACAAAAACGCATCATGCCTCATTATGTTGACAACGTTGTAAGCTCTCGCTCATTGAACATACGAATCTTGATAAAATATAATTTGTTTCTATGAAATTTAGAAGCGAGCACAATGTTTGCAAAGAAAGGTCCATTGCATATATGCTATGTCTATCATCGCAAAAAAAGTGAGTGCTACCCCCTCTCCCCCGAAAATCCTATGTTTGTTTTTCAAAATATGTCAAAGATTTTTAAAAATTGCATTACTAAGTATGTGATGGAACATGTACTAGCCTTATAATACCACTTGTTATAAAAATATTTGGTTGCCCTCTCCCTCGATCTACTGCCTAGAAATGGCCCGACTCATTTTTTTAACATTCCATTACACGATATTTTTTTCTTTTTCTTCCGTCAACAATTCTGTTTAAATTTTAAGGATTTTTTTCTCACCTATAAATACGGACCCAATAATTTTTCCCTGAGTTGGGAGGACAACCAAACATCATTTTAAGGATGTTTATAGGTTGATTTTTTCTCTTTACTTTGTACAATTGTAATTTTGAAAATATGGACAAATAGAAAAAAAAATTATTCATTAAATCTCCTAACCCACTCTGAATGATTTCATGCCTTTTCAACTGTTGCTCCTCTGTAATGAAAATTATAAATGCATGTTTATTTGACACAGTATACGAGGGGTGATCAAAAAGTAAACAATATCTTAGGTATTTGATATTTATATTATTGTTGAAATATTCAAGTATTTTTCAAAGTGTAAAATTTTAATTGAAGGTCTTTGATAGCATATTGTTTTATTAAAAACACATCCCTTTTCAAACTTGCTTTTACCGGGCAACATAACAAGTATCATGCTTCACATGAACACATTCTTATACGCTACTTCAAAGGCATTTCTAAGACATACATGTGCCACGAGTTCCACTGAGACAACCATTTTTCGTTAAAAGTACCTGAATAATGACGTCATTTTCAGATTGACATCACAAACAAGGATCAAAACTTCAGCATATGCTATTTAAAGAACTTGTGTTTGGCTTCTAATCTGAACTGTGGTTTTGTAGATATAGAGATATTTCGCGAAATTTTTGATAACGCTCTTTGTGTTTTATTGTGGATAATTAAATTTTAATAGATAATATAATTTATCTGTGGCAAACTTACACACTCTTAATTTTCAACTTTGATGGTGCTCATTTTTCCGTACCTGGAATCAAAGAGTTTAAATTTTTTTTATATCAATACGTAAACTATATAACAACTGTTCGATAAAAATACTAAATAAATTAGTTCAAGCCACACTATAACACCTTTCCTCTTTTAAAAGTGTTCATGTATTATTTGGAATATTTTGCAACTGTAATTCTCTTCTACATTTAAAGATTGTTATGCCCCTCCATATTAAGAAGAGGTCTGGAAAACAAGATTCTGTGCTAAAAATAGACCACGTGCTGCTATCTATGAACTACTTTCATGGTTCTTTACACTCTTTTTGAAGACAATGGTACCTTGTTTTGAACTTGAAATTATCATTTAAAAGTGCAAAATTTAGACATTTTCTCAACAAATGGTTGTAGAGAGAACATTAATGCACAGTTTGCATATTTTTTTGGATTTTTTATGGCTCTGCTGAATTCTGTAGCTGCGCAGTTCTAAGGAGCATATCAAAAGCATTTTTCTGCAAAAGTATAGATTATATATGAACAACATGCATTCGGTTATGCATATTTATTGTATCTTTATCAAAAAGACTTAAAATTTGATCAAAATATAATGTATTTTAGCCATTTGAAGAAATGTTTACATTTTGCTCTCACTGCACTAAAAGTGGCCGTACACCCCCCTAATTAAGATTAGACATGATGTGTTGTACGGCGGGTTACAGTATACACTCAGCACTCTGGGCGTAGTAGAAGTTCTGTAGTAACTGTGAACTTGTATGTACAATATATTGGGATTCATGGTATCCTGTGTCATAGATGAAGTTCTGAAGGAGCTGTGACATTGTATGATGCCCTGTGTTAAAGATTAAGGTTAGACATGATGTGTTGTACCGCGGGGTACAGTATGCACTCGGCACGCTTGGCATGGTAGAAGTTCTGTGGACACAGCCATGTAAGCTGGGGTCTGGGGTTGTTCCCTGACCGGTTCCATGTGTTAATGTTGCACAGGATGAGGTCGACAATAGCTAGACTGAATACGGATAAACTATTTTTTTAAATATTATAAGATACAGGAGTTTTAAACAGTTTAATACCTTCGCACAATTAAAACGCCCAATTTGAAACCAACCTATGATATATCAAATCTTTTAAAAAAATAATATTTGACTTCTTGTATGAATAGCCGTAACGAAAAATTATTTCCCTGCAGATGTAAAATAACATTTTGTAGAAATATTTAATATTTGAAGTACAATACGCCTTCAAATACAAAACCCACTTTGTTTGATTTATGACTGTGTAAATCTTCCTCAACAACAGAGTAATCTATAGTACTATCGTACTTAAAGTTTTTTTTCTTTTAATGCACAATAAACTCGTTAAACAGCCTACAAAAGAAAAAAAAAACCATCTGATTAAGTATGAATAGCTCTATTTTATCTTGTACGTTATGTTGTCTCTGGTTGACTAGCTCATATTTGTGAATATTTTTTCTGTGTGCGGTGCTGAATTGAATATATTCTAACCTCAAAAAGAATTTAAATATATTTTTATCTTACGGTAGTAATTGCATAACTGTTTAAGTAATGAGACGGCCCTTTCAGATGGAAGGGAAGTTAGGCTTACAAATAGAATAACTATCTGATTAAGAATATCGACCTTTAATGTAATCTGGTGAGAATATATATGTATTTTCCGTTGTTTTAGGTAAGACAAATTACATATGATTTTGATTTCAAGATGTACAAAATGAATTTTTCTTATTTAATTAACATTTCTAGGTTTAAGATGTAGAACATTACTGTTCGTCTACCCTGCCAAGGAGCTTTCTGTTCAATGAGTATCAGTAAACTACAGCCATTGAAATTTCATCAGCACATTTGCTTTTTACAGATCATCCTATCCTCTATTATGAACTCTAGTACAATCACGGAGCAACACTACATTGAGTGTGCCACATGTAACAAGTACTCAAAATTTTATTGCAACACCTGTCACCAGCGAATGTGTGAAGAGTGCAGAGAAGGTCATATCCGGGAAAACGAAAATAGAAATCTCCAGGTAGTTCATTATAAGGATAGGTTAAAACAATTACCAAAAGAAAACTGTCTTTTTCATCCTCCAATGCTTTTAGAGAAGTTCTGTTATGAATGTCCAGTCCCTATTTGTTCGGAATGCTTAACCACAGATCACAACGGCCATCAGGTACTTGACCTTGAAGTTGTTTATAATATATGTCTACAGCAATGCCAGGAAGAGGTGGTCAGTATCCGAGATATCCTTATTCCTCAATGTGAAGAGGAAGTGAAATCACTAGAGAAAAGTAAAGTCGATGTCAAGAAAAAAATTGCTGAATTACGGCTATCCATGAATCAGAGAGCTGACAGTGTTCTTGATGATAACAATGCCAAACTAAACGAAATGGAGGCTTCACTTGTGGACGAGAAAGAAAAGCAACTGAAAAAAGTAAAAGACTATATCTCATACCTTAACAATTTGATTGATGACTGTTACAGTGATCTGTCGTCATGCAAATTAACCGAGGTTATCAGGTACAACAACAAAAACTCAAACGTTATTCTCGTAAGATTTCCGGAAATAATTGAATCTGAGCTTCCAAACTTTGAAGAGAGTGGGGATATTGCGAAAGAAATAGAACAGATTTTTTGTCATATAAAACCATTTGCAGAAGGGAAAGTTTCGAGAGAAGTTAAAAATATCAAGAAATCATTGCAACAATTCAACTCCAAATCAGCTCAAAAGCTAAGTATGGAGCATTGCTCCTTTTTAATTAAGACACAGACAATTAGAATACCTGGACTAAATGGCCTGTCTCATTTATCACCAGCTGTTCCATCAGGCATGTATTGGGCAAGTGGTGATGATAAATATGTCATTCAATTTGACTTGCAAGGAAATATTCTTCAAAAAGTAAAAACAGGAAATCAGATGAAGGGATACCACTCGATCACAAAAGAAGACAATTTGATATATACGGATTATAAAGAGAAAGCCATATACAAAATAAACATGGATATGACCACCACGACACTTATCACCTCGGAAGACTGGGAGCCTTGGTCAATCTTCTCTTCCCCGATTAATGGAAACATATTAGTTGGGATGAAAAAAGAGAAAAAATGGAAAATAGCCAGATATACCAGCGATGGCATTAAGTTACAGGACATTCAGAAAAATGTTAATGGGGAGGACTTATATTCGAGTGTAAGCTTTATCACAGAAAACATTAATGGTGACATATGTACATCAGATTATATTGGTGAAAAGGTTCAGGTGGTGACCGGATCAGGAGAATATCTGTTCTCCTACTCTGGTAGTGATGAGATGTCAGGTTTTTCCCCGTCTGGAATCTGCACAGATGTTCTTGGAAATATATTGGTGTGTTGTTCTTACATATCATTTAATCTTAGATCTAGTCTTAGATATGAACCACCGGGTACTGGCCCTATACCTAAATATGGTATCCATTTGCTGGACCAGGACGGACATTTTTTGGATTTTCTGCTCGATTCATATTCAGTGATAAGCAAATTGTACGCTGTCTGTGTTGATAACCAAAACAATCTGATTATAGGACGTGCAGACAGTCCTACAATCTGTGTTTACAAGTATCTCAAGGGCAAATGCGCGTTGCGAAAAAAAACAGTAAAAGAGGTCTATGTGGAACACTGGGGCACTCGTGTATAAACTTTGTTTTACAAATGGTCTGATCTGTGTCAATATACTACAGCACAAATAAAGTAATACCCATCTTCCAATAATGAGCTTAAATCATAAAGTACTTAAATCAGGCGTACTTTGGAAATGTTCTACCTACTGGTCTGTTGAGACCCATGCCATGCATTTTGACTTTCGAATACCTGTAAATGTAGACAAAAGCGATGACATGAACTTCCTCAAGAGTGAAATTAATCCTTAAACTCAAGGAGATAAAGAAACTTTTTAAAGAAAAGTCAAAGAAAAACGTCCAAGGGGGACCGAAATTGACTATTTTTATGATATGTGTGTGTGATTTTTCTTAAACGATGTTTTTTGCAACAGTTTACTGTATTTATCCTGTATGGTGAGCATTTAAACTTTCAATTTGACAACAATTATGTATTTACAAGCTTGAGATTACCATTGACATGTTTGCTTAAAGCTATCGCGCAAGAATATGAAGCGTAGTACGTCTCACATGTGATACGGTATCGGTATCTACTAATAAATGTTTAATATATAAGACGTTTGGTCATAGTCACGAGTTGGTGGACACTGGCCTGAATGATCTAGTATTTAAAATCGATTGTATGTCAAACTTGTGCTATTTGAGATTCGCCATACAGATATTTAACACTAATCGTAAATCATAAATTAAAAATAATGATAATAGAAATATAATCGAATGTTAATCTTGTGTAACTTACACGTTATAGATTAAAACTACAGTTAGAGCCATACACTGAATGCAAAAAAAGGAAATTTTTGGAGACATTGCAGTTTGATGGATCCTGTGTCACTAGAAATAATTTGATTTTGTTCATATTCTCGCCTCTACTTGGTTGATTTCCACAAAGGAACGCAGAACATTTTGTATAAACTGGTTTGGTATGGGGACACGCCTCCTTGACGGCCAGCTTATTCATCTTATCCATGCAATCCCCTCATTTCCAGTCCTCGGAATCCAAAAAAATTAATTTAATAACTGTATCTTTAACTTCAAACATTTACTTGATCTTACCTCATGTAAACACACAACAATGCTGCTAGATCTATGGTTCAGTTATTACCTCTCCTCGCTTCACATCACTTCCGTTACTAAGGTTGTATTATTGCGCGGTAAATTTGAAGTCGTTAAATGCAAAAAGATTTAACATCCACAGTTCTTTGATTATTTTAAAATTAAATTATAAGGAATGACTCTAATTCTTAGCCAAATTAATTTATCGAGTATAACCCGGCTTGGGTCAGTTTACGCTTTTTATTAATCCGCCAAAAAAGGAATGCATAACATTTTGTATAATCTGTTTTGGTATGGGGACACACCCCCTTGACGACCAGCTTAATCATCATATCCATGCAATCCCCTCATTATCAGTCCTCGGAATCCATGGAAAATTCCAGATTTAATAAATGTACCTTCAACTATTAACAATTTCTCGTTCTTACCTCATGTAAACAAACATCATGGCTTCTAGATTTATGTATCAGTTATAACCTCCCCTCGCTTCAAATCACTTCCGTTACTACGGTTGTATTATTGCACGGTACATTTGAACTTATAAAAGGCAATACAATTTTACATCAAAAGTTGTTTAACTATTTTAAAATTAAATTATAAGGAATGACTCTAATTCTTGGCCATATTATCGAGTATAATCTGGTTTGGGTCAGTTTTCGGTTTTTTATAATAAGGTTCGCGGTTTATAAAGCGTAAACTGACCCAAACCAGATTATACTCGATAATTTGGCCAAGAATTAGAGTCATTCCTTAAATAAACATAAAAACAATCAGAATAAAGTATCAAAATTCTTTTACGATATACATAGAGTACAGTTTTTACATTTTGAAAAGTCACTTGACAATCCAGTTTTCCAAAAGATGGCAAATTTTCAATTTTTGTGCGCATGCTCCTTAAGGGATTGGCGGCAATTATTGTTATTCAATTAAATTTAATACTTCAAATACTTGTGCACCACCAACGATTTTAAACTATTTTACAAGAGGTATTTTAAATAAAAAAATGATAGGTCTTTCTTTTATGTTTAATAGAAAAACAAATCTGTGCATTTTTCCGTCATGTTTGGGATCTTCAGTGGCAATGTCATCAATAGAGAGAGTCTGTGTCTATAAAAAGGGCCTTGGTACTCTTTTCATATACTTGTAGTGGAAATCATACATGAGAATCTTAAACAGTCAAGAATGTAAAATCCCTTAAAGATTTGTCGATTAAACACTAGCTTCTGTTTCTGGGGTTCGATGGACTCCAGGTCTTCATACAAACCTTAAATGACTGAAATAAGGATCCTCATTAAGTACATTTTAAAGGGATATCAAATATAACAATCGTAACAAAAAAGAAAATATCAGTGGATGCGAGACTATTCAGACCCATCTTCGCTAGACAAGGGTTTCCGATCCGATACCTAGGCTTATAGATACATTTAGGTATCGGATCGGAAACCCCGAGGCATATCAATTTTGAGGGAAAAGTAAATAGTTGCATGTTTTCTGAAACACCCTGTATGTGTGTATCTCTAGCAAGGAGGGGCAGCAATGGGGTGGGGTGTTTACTCCATATATTAATCATTGTATTACTATGGACAAGCAGAAACAATTCATTTTATTATTGGAATGAGAGAGAGAATTTTGCGTTTGCTGGTCTGTAATGCACATATTCATTCGATCTATTGTAAACTGCATTAATCTACGAGGGACTTTCAACAAATAATGCCATTAGCTCATTGAAATACAACATAGTAGTCATATAGATTGACTTTCTCTCATTATTGAATCTTTAGTGATTTGATAACAGTTTGTGTGGCCACTTTTCATCGCATTATTTCAATGTTTGATGCTGGAAAACAAGGGTGGGGGGCTATTCGAGACACTGCATTAAAAATGAATGGTCAAGAATTAGTTTTCTAAAGTAAAATTAAATGCATCATTATAGCAGCTGTAAAACTTGTTAATATCCCAAAATAAATTAACTGACATATGTGAAATTAACAGCAATCAATGCCTGTTTTATAGACAAATGAAAAAGTAGATTTCAATTAACAAAAATTATATAATGGGCATCAAAATGCTGCCTTGGCAACTATGACAATAACCGATGTAAATTTGCGAAATTTCAACAAATTATCACTGATTATGTTTTATGACTTTAAGACACATAGCAAAATTGATACAAATTAGTTTGGTGATAGTTCAGACTGTTTAAGAGAAACATTTTGTAGTTAAAAGTTTAATACTCAAAGATCACCCTATATTATGAATAATGAGTGAACAGAACAGCGTGTAGGAATATCCAAACAATTACTTAAAAAAACATAAATTGTACTTATCCACGTTTGTCTGAAATTCTAACAGATAATGAAACTCGAATCCGATTGCTTTAAACCTTAAAAACAAATAAATAATAAGATGCACTTGACAACACTGCAAAGGCCTACGAAGAGCAAAACATTGCAAGAGCGTAAAACAGTTTTATATGCAATTTTCTTAAATATTAGCGGTCTTGTTATTCAAATTCATATTCGGAGAGGAAATTCAATTTCGGAAGGAGTCTAGAAAACATATTTCTTTGCAAAAAAAATGAAAGGTTTATGAGAGGAAGGAAACAGAATGAGGAAATCCTTCATGACAACATCCAAACCAATAGGCCATGAAGATTAAAGGAGTTTTAGGAAAGTTAATGTTTTGTCACACCAACAAAATTTGTCAGATCTTTCAACCTTTGACTTGTTCATTTCCCAAACTTAGAAAAACATCTATCAGAGAGTCAAAACAAGTACAGCAAATAATAGGATCTGCCATATTCCAGTATACAAAGGGTCATTCTGAAAAATGTGTTCGAAAAACAGATAGAAATTGATGAAAATGTTACGGATATGTGTTTTAATAAAAAAAGAAAATTTTAGCGAAATCATTAAGTGATAGATTTATTGTATATTGTTTGGCGTCCCTCTCGAGAATTTTTTACTCATATGGAGACGCCAACGGTGCACTTGCCGGTGGAGAGCTGCAAATTTTGTCCTATGCTCGGCATTTATAGGGCCATTGAATTGGGAGGGATCTTTTTCGTGCCAACACTTACTGCAACACGGGACCTCGGTTTATACGGTCTCATCCAAAGGACCGGTCTCTACGTCCCACAGTGGGATTGGAACCAGCGAAGTAAGGATTGACTCATTACTCCGCGACTCTAGAGCAGACGCTGTAACCACTGCGCCACGCGGGCGACTAAGTCATAGAAAAGCGGGGTTTTTTGGCTTCTTTCCGAGCCCCAATGACATTGTTTATTGAACGCTCCTCGATTTTTTTCCCTTTTGTTTCAATTTTCTTTCTTCTGCCACTACTCTATTGAAAATTGTTTTCTATCCGGCTAACCAAAAAGTGTGATGTTACATTTTGCGTTCTTGTTTTTTCCCAATCTCAACGCAAAATGTAACAACGCAAATTGTAATAATCACAATAATCTCAAATTCCCATTATTACACTATGCATTATTGCATTTTGTGGTGATCTCATGTAATGTAAAAATGTAATAACGCAAAATGTAATAATAATCTTCGAATTATGCATTATTAGATTCTGAGTTGGTTTTGACGCAAAATATAAAAACAGAAAATTTAATTATCGGGGTTTTTACATTTTGCGTTGTTATTACATTTTGCGTTGTAACAACGCATGTTATTATGTAGCACATAATAATTATATGAAAGTTTGCGTCAAAAAAACCTAATACAACTAGGAGTAAAAAAGGAACAGATCAACACTACATTGAGTGTGCAACATGTTACAACTACTCCAAATTCTACTGCATCACCTGTCACCAGCGAATATGTGAGGAGTACAGAGATGTTTACCTCTGGGAGAAGGAAAGCAGGAAACACGAGGTAATTCTTTACCAGAATAGGTTAAAAGAATTACCAACAGAAATCTGTCTTGTCCACGCGACAATAGTACTAGAGCTTTACTGTGT